TGACAAAAGATGTGTCATTTTCCTTTGATTCCTCCTCTTCTGAAATTGTGTAGGATTTTGACTATGAGAAATAGTGAAAGGCTGCTAGCAGGTATGAAAGATAAACTAGATGCCATCCAAGGTCCATCAAAGCTGAGTAGAGACTTTGAGAAGCTGAGAGATGGATATCCCGACGCAGTCATGCCAACCAGTTCTGCAGCTATTGGGTTGATCAAGTGTACACTATATTAGTTGCCATTTAGGATCTTTTGACCAGTAATAAACACAGTGAAAATCTATATTGTATCATTTGCAGTCAGACAGTACCAACAAATGTCATGAGAAAGAATTCAACATACGATCTTACCAAGAACTTTGATTGATTCCAGAGCAAGCATGCACAAATTACATTACTTTTCAAACAAAAAAGATTCAAATTATGCTATGAAGCACATGCATATGATTTTCTAATTCAACTTTTACTACAGCTGCAAGAACTAAAGTACTTCAACATAAGGAATCGAGCAAAGACTGATCAAAATAATAAATGCTGCCCATTTCTATAAAGCTTTGGAAACAAAAAACAAAATCTGTGCGGCTCGGCATGAGCCCGAAATCAGGTGAACGAAAGAAACCCTATTTCTGTTCGAAATTTCTGCAAACAGCTGACAGGCATCCACGAAAAGATCCAGTTCTACATGCCCATCGCACTTCAGGGAATGGACCGGCGGACAAGTGAAAACGATGGGCCAAAACTAGGTCTTCTAATCTACAAAACTGGGCCACAACTAATGCAAAGAGTGAGGAAAAGTGGTCTCCTTTGATCACGTCGCAACCTATCAGCGAAAATCCGGTCGTAACGATGAAAAATAATGCAAAGAACGAGAGAAAAGGCTCTCTTTCGATCTGATTCCAATCAATTTTTGTAGGATTTGCGTGTGTGTGTGTGTGTGTGTGTATATATATATATATATATATATATGTGATAATTTTTTTATTAGAAAAATGAGAAAATTGATGGAGAAAAAAAAATTAACTCCAAATGAGAGTGTTTTTTTGGAAGAAAAAAAATTATCATATATAATTTTATTTAAAATTTTAATATGTGTGTACCATATAAGTGCACAAAAAATTCACAGCCATGGATGGAGATGACGATGGGACCCACAATTTGGATAGAGGCCCGATGAGCGGATAGCGTTTCCGCCACCCCTCTCTACTCTTCAAACGCCGATAAACGCAACGTTCATCTTTTGCCTCCTCTCGAGTCTCTGCTCGCTCTCTCCCCCCTCGCAGTTCCCCTGTTCTTCTTCCGCTTCCCCCATGGCTACGGTATCAGCTGCCTCTGTCCGGTTCGCATCGTTGAAGCCAGCTAGCCGGAGTAACCAGGTCACCTCTTTTGATCCTTGGAATGGTTGTGTTCTCTTTTGTGAAGCTTATGACTTGATTGCTCGACCAGGTTAGAGCAGAATCATAGGATGAACAAACCATGCTGGTTTAATGGCATATGGAAAGAAACTTTATGTCTAGTAACCTTTTGTCATCGTTGGAGTGATAGATGTGGAAAAACAAGTAAAGGAAGTCAATAGGTGTTTGGATATAACAGAGGAGAAGGAAAGTTCCGATGGAACTAAAAGGAAATTGTAGTGATAAGTGTGCATCCTCTGTGTTCTTCCTCATCCGCATCCGTAGATCCTAAGCTTTATGAAAAATGCTGCATATGTCACTGATCTATGTAATGCAGGCAAATGGAGTTACTTCAGGTGTGATGTTTGTCACGATTGGCACATCAAAGCTCGGCTTTCCCTCCTTGAGATCCTCGCGTTTTCGGGTTCATTGTGCCGTATGTTCTGTTATCTTCGTTCTTTTTCCTCCTCCTCATCTGCTAAGTAGGATTCTTGTGGCTAATAAACGTTGATTCTAGGCCAAGCCGGAGACGGTAAACAAAGTGATAGACATTGTGAAGAAGCAATTGGCACTTTCCGACGATACGAGCCTCACTCCAGAGTCCAAGTTCTCGTCCCTTGGTGCAGACTCACTGGACACGGTATTCTGTTTCACCTGAGTCGGATCCACGTCTTTTAAGCAGACAGACATCATTGTTGAATGTTGTTTCCTGCTATTTTGGGTTTCAGGTGGAGATTGTGATGTGTCTGGAGGAGGAGTTTGACATCAGTGTTGATGAAGACAACTCTCAGAACATCACCACGGTTCAAGAAGCAGCAGACCTGATAGAGAAGCTTGTTCTGCAGAAAGCTGAGGCTGATTAGTGAATGGTATACAGCTTATTTGTGCTCATGTTGTGGTGGAAATTTTGGATTGTTTTGTGGGTGGCTCAATTCATGGAAATGGACATGATTATGTTGTTTATTTTTCGACTTGTTCTGCATTGTGCAATTCATCGGTCAAGAAATGTTGAGATAGTTTTATTTCAGACAGATTAATTAGATTGTTGATGCTGATATGCGCTTTGCTTGTGCTATTTGTTTCTCTAACTAAGCTGAAATATTTGTCTGTTTCTTACTCTAACCCAAAGGAACATTGAACTGTTTAGAGGACCGGGAAATTGTTTGGCATATTCCTTGTCGATGCAATCCTCCTAAACAAATGGATTTATGCTGTCTCAAGTACTGATCCAGATTCTATTTTATCTCACACAAAATATGCCATTTAGACAGACCACTGAGTTCATTGTGTGCTGGAGCTCAAGGAATCTGTGTGTGTCACACAAAACATTAGTTCATTAAGTCATGATTACAATTAGGAGCTTAATAAGATTATTTTTTGATGGAACTCTTGATATTTTTCTTAAGGCCTTGCAGGTGTTCTTGTCAACTTTTTCTGGACTGCTAAGGTGATAAATAGAACTTCACAGAAGTAGAAGAAAGAGAAAAAAAGAGAGAGAGAGAGAGGAACTATCTAGTTTTTTCCCCAAATTATCACAATGACAATATTCATTATGTATGTGGTTATCATATATGAAATGTTTGGTGGCTATTTATTATGTCTCTTATGCTCATTTCTTCCAAGAAAACCTTGACCCTCATCCTAATCCATCAAATGCTGCAGCAACTCTCTCTCTCTCTCTCTCTCTCTCTCTGCTTTTGCTTTAATCTGAATTATACTTTCCATGAGCTAAAGCCTATTGGAGATTCCTTCCTCTACAGAGAACTGTTCAATTGGTCCATTTATATGCTTGAATAGTACTAGTACTTGCATGCTTTGATTATGTTGGATCACCATCCTCACCAGTAAATATCTAAGCTGTGTTTGGACCAATGGTTTGCCATGAGAAGAGTGTCCACAATCCACATGGCACATTGTGGGACCCACAATTTTATTATCTTTCCAGCTCATGGGCCCCAAGTGCTACACCACAAATCTTAGAGCTGACAAACCATAGTTCATTTCAAACTCATACATGAGGCTGCAACAGTGAAACATAAAAAATGCATCATCCCACTTGAGGATTACTGCTTTGTGATTGAACATAAAACAACATCTGATATTAGATCAATCCAGTTATAAACTAACAGTCTCTGCATCTTAGTCAGAAATATCTAATCTCACACAAGTACTTTATCCTGCAAACAGTGAACAAGTCATTATATTTCTTGATACAGTGTAAAATGTGGCCTCAAGTAGAGTCCATATTTCTATGAACCTCTGATATGGTAAAACCAGGGACACACTCTGTGTCAACCAGCAACAAACAAATGATAGGTGGGGGACTTCAGTAATGGAGGTAGGGAGTGGGTCAGTTAGTAAAAATGAGAAAGATGGAGAAGGGAAATGATCTCATGGGAGCCCTTAGTTACCTATATGTCCTGTCTATTTGAGCTATGTTTTTTTTGGCCACATCCCTTGATTGATTGATGTGAACAAAGCAGTAGCTATCTCTGACATTCACAGAAATGCATCCTTTTCATTAATTTCCATACTGTTTTGTTCTGATTCCTCATAAGTTTCAATGGTAGCTTCAGTCTCTGAACATATGCAACTCTGTAGGACATGTAAATCTTTCATCCTTATGCTTAACAAATAATAAGTTACTTTTCTTTAACTAAAATGATTAACAGGGACAGATACAACAAAAAAAGTGATAGAGCAGACAAATATACTAAAATGATTCATGTGCTTTTAACATTTGACATAATAATCAATCACTGACTAAGAAATAAAATGACGAACCAGCTTTGTGAATTTTAGATATTCTTGGAGGGGTTAAGTTTAGTTGAAAATTGATGGTTTTGGACTGTTTGGAAACTAACAAGTGAATGCTGTTAATTCTATATATTTGGTTACCAAAAAAAAATAAAAAGATGAACTGCCTTTTCCTGGATTTTCATAAAATTTAGAATTCATTTTATGATTGATAAGATCAATATCCATAATGATTGTGGGAACTGAACATCGAGGGCAAATAAACCTTAATCAGTATTTCATTACCTTTCAGTCTTGGATAATCATATTCCTACTTTTATTTTGAGCATTTCAAGTAGTTATTTCTTCTTCTTCTTTTTATACCATAAGTACTGCTGATAACTTCATCATACATGTTCAAGTAATATTAGGATTATCAGCATTTGCATTTAGTGGTTTAAAGTATTTTTCTCAAGGCACATAAAGAGAAAATACTTTTAATTATAGATTAGATCAAGTAGACTCTGTTTTTCTATTCCAAATAGATCCACTTAATCTGCTGTTTTGTTTATTTACTAGTTTAATTTCAATTAACCACTTGATGCATCTAGCTTGACAATGTATAAAAACTAGGAACTAATCTGCCTCTCTAGGTAGGTTATTTTAATGTGAATTGTATAATTTAAATTGCCTTCACTAGGTTAAAATTACATACAAACTTGGTGGGTAGACCTCTTAACCTATCTCTCAACCAATACTTGCTTAAAAAACTGGCACACAGACAGATACCTACACTGTACCTACTTAATTTATGTGCAACTCCTGAAGTTAGCCACTCAACTCATTCTATTATCTTTAGATTGGAATTGTCTTGATGATATAAAACTAGAGAACAAAATAATGGACAATGTAGCTGCTGGTGGTCTTGTGAGGGACCAGCAGCATAATTTTCAGGACCTACAGGAAACTGTTCAGGTCACAGTCCACCAGTCCATCTGCACCATAGTAAAACAGTGCTGATGGTAATTGCAACACAAGGAAGTGAAATTAACCCTTGAGTGATTGAAGTTTCTGCAGGAATCATATGAGTCTCAGTATCTGACATTTACTGACAGAGTGTGTATGGACACCAGTTCAATTTTTATCTCCTCCAGCAGAATCAGGGACTCCACTGTAAGTTGTGATCAGTAAACAAACAATTAGCTTTTGTACATATATTCTATGTGAAATTTGATTCAGATATTGGTATCTACCTCATTGTCAGAACAATGGCAGTGGATTTTATTTCCTTGTGGTCTACTGAAACAGCAGTGATGGTATTGGATTGAATGATTCACTGGAAAAAGCTGAGACTGCAGAAAAAGCGAGAGTGATAGCTGATCAGAAAAGCTTTTCATGTATCTGTCAGTAATATATATATATATCTAGATATATGCTTTTCATCTTCTTGCTTTGACAGGAAAAGAACCACTTGCACTAAGAATCTTATGGAAGATAGATGAACAAGGGATCCCTAACTTATTGGAGAATAGCTGTTAGAGAATGATCCCATAGAACAAATTTCTTCCCATAAACAACATTACAAAAAAAAAAAAGATAGAAAAAAGAGACATTTTTCTACCTGAGAGTAGAGAAAGAAAATTAAGATTAAGGAGAAACTCATAACTTTAATGCTGTGACATGCAGATATTCCGAAAGCTATTGTTAAATCCATATTGACTTCTCATCAAATGCCCCCTTCACTGAGCAAACAAATCGAATGCATCTACCAAATTCAAGCACCTTATAAACAATCAATTACCAAAAAAATAAAGTTCCTGACAACCCTTCTTTTTAGAAACACAACCAAATCTTGATCTATTTTGAGCTGAGAAAAGAAGAGTCTCAAATGATTGATGTGCAATATCATGTTAGGAAACAGTCACCTTAGCAAATCTTGTGGTTGATGTATTGCTCCTCAAATAACTCTTCCTTGGTGGAAGGAGGGATGATCTTAGTTTTGTCACTCTCCACCATCTTAATTATGATAAAATTCCATGTGGAAATTGGACCCACTTGAAAGATAAAATTACAAATGAGAGGATCAGAGTGGACCCACCTACAAAATAGTTGCCCAAAACTTTTCTTGTTCCCTACATTTATCTTGTCCTCATCATGAGATGGTAGTACTGAGTAGCTTTCAAAGCTTATCTTCTTCAGCATATCCATAAGATCAGGGACATCATCAGTGTATTTGTGACTCAGCTCAGCTTCTCCTTGGCTCCATGATCAAACAACTTTAGTATAGATCTAAAAGCTTTGTCCTCTTGAGATGTTTGGGATTTATAGCTTCACATGACAAGATTGTGCTTGAGGTTACAATGATACATTTTGAGATGATAGGAATTAGAGACTTAAGATGTTTGTAAGTTACAACTTTCCACCATTGCATTTGGAGTGCCATGAATTCCCAAACACCTCCAAATTTGTTGAAAGCATAGTTGTGTACATGATGCACAATTGTAACTAAAAGTGTCAATCATATCTTACTCATCTGAGTTGCAAAGAAATAACCTCATTACTTAAAGTTTATACATTAATTAATTCATAAAAAAATAAAATCAATTGATTTGCTTTTGGATTTATCATAGACTATCATCAAGGTCATATGATAGGTTGAGATCCCTAAATGACCTATGCTACTTGGCAACTATGATTATTAACAACATTGTGCATGTTGGAACTTAGTGAGGTGACTTAATTTTATATAACCTTGAATGGGGGGGGGGATAAGAATTTCTTTTCAATCATATTCTCATTAAAATAATTCACACCCTTAACACCACATGCAATTAACTATTTGTTTTACTTTTACTCACTACATGTTCTCATTTAGAGGAAATGAATACACTTTTTTTTTCCATTACCATATATATATATATATATATATATATATAAGTAAAATAAAAGTAAAATCATGAGGTTTTGAGTACCAAATAAAAATGAAACTTTTTTTTTTTTTTGGAATGATGCTATTCAATTACCATTTCAGAGTAACTCATTGCAATGATTACATGCAATAACTCAACCAATGCCAATTAAACTTCCAACCTAACCTATGAGAGACAAAACATAGTGCTGCTTCTCATCAAGCAAGCAATTTAAGGCATCCCGGATCCAGTGTGCGCCGCTACACCACCGTAAGATAGGATGAAGATTGATGTGGACCCTCCGATCCCGACCCGACGGTCACGGTGAGGGCACTCGGCCCTTTTGTGATGTGCCTCATCCCTGCACCATCCCATCTGCCGGCCGCAACGCACCTATCGCCTCCGTGTGCCGCACGCACACGCTACCTTCTCGTGATCCACCGTTCCGTCTCCCACAGCCAAAAAGTTCGAACTCAACGTGACGTGTCGTGAATGGTAGCGATGTGGGACCCATTGACGTACGCTATTCGAGAACGGACGGTTTAGCTGGTGCATGTTCTAAGGCTTGCTGCATTTATTTAGTGCGTTAACCAATTAGAAGTCTGTTGGCGCATCGATACGTTTCGAGAGAGCCGATCACTAGCTGCTGCTGTGCAGACAGGATACGGTCTCTTCAAGCCCACAGAAATGTGCCACGTAGGAAGATAGCGTGGCAAGTGGGACCCGTTAAAGGGACGTCTCTTTCACGGATTGACTTAAATACCCTTGATAATTTCTTTAAGGCGAACGTTAGAGAGCGGTGTCGATGGGGAGTAAAAGGGTAACTTCAAAGCATTAGTGGTTCGAGCTGGCGGCCTTTCCGGGCGCCGGATTTGTCGATCCGATCCGACCCGTGACCGAGTGCGACGCCGTCACGACGATAACGACGCGCCGTCGCCATCTCCGTCTCCTCTGTTTCATTGCCGCCGTTTACCCCTTAATCTCCGTCTCTCTCTCTCTCTCTCTCTCTAAAGCCTTAAATACCGAGAATTATTCCTCTCTCTCTCTCTCTCTCTCAATTATCCTAACTCTTCTGCTCGCATCCCCTCGCCGGCCGGAGTGAACAGCAGATCGCCATAGATTCCGGCGTCCGACCGCCGGAATCCGCGAGAGATACCGGCGGCCGAACGCCATCCGAGGCGTACGCTTAGAATCATTCGAAATCGGGCCAAGAAAGGGAAAAGAAGCGAGAGGGAGGGTATAATATTTTATTCGGTTGCGGCGGGCAGGCGGGAGGGCGGGGCGTGGCGGTCTTGCTTGCATTGGAGGGGAAAAGGAGAGAGAGAGAGAGGAGGGGGAGAGGTAGACGCTCGCGCACGGCACGGATGCCGAGGTGATCCCTTGTGGGATTCCCCCTGGCTGCCACCTCCTTGTCTTATGGCGTAATCTATTCCCCTATCTCTCCCCTGCCCCCTGTGGATCGCTTTTATATAAATTCTTCTCCGCTCCACCACCCTTGCCCCGTGCTGTCTGCGGCGATTCTTGGTGAGCGGAGGAAGCGGGCGATCCGGTGAGAGGGACCTCCTTCTATCTTGTGCTTTCCTTTATTTTCTGGATTTCTTTGATCTGCTTCGAATTGGTGTCGAGAGCTCAAATCTTGAGGCCGGAAATGCAATTGCTAGAATACTTTAGTTGTTGGATTTAGCTGTTTCCCTAGTTTCTCTTCGCCCCATTACTTGTTGGCATTCGGTTGCTGCGACGATTTAACTCGACCTTTTTTGTGGAACTTTAGGTTTCAGCGCCAAAAGGGTTTTCCCTTTAATTTAAATATTGAGCACGTCGACAATTGCTTGAGGCGAAGAAAGGAGCAATTTGAGCTGCAACCTAATTTCTTTATTTGTTTCCTTTTTGTATCATTAGAGATCAACCATTTCTCCGGGGAATTCAAGCAGACCATGGGGGAAGAAGGAATGGCCATGTGAGGAAAGTCTGGGGTTCTAAATATGAATTTTGGTCGTGTCTTTGATTTTGGAGCTGCAGATATCCTACTAAAATGATGAAACAAGGGCTGCAAGCTCCATTCAATCTGCACTCCGAGGCATCTCCATTTTTATCCGAGGAGCTGCACTTTGTTACTGAGGTAACAGTTGCCTTTAATATTTCTTCTTTTCCTGAGAATTACAGAGAATGATGAGCCCCTCCTAATAACTACCCTGGTCATGTAATCGGGTACCACCTCCACAACTAATCAAATCTAGAACGTCTCAAAAATGAAAAGGATATCCAACCACTAGGTCGAGGCCTCCTTGGTAATAATTGCCTAACTACAGGCTTTAATTGATTCTCTTGCGCAGATTAAGAAATTCACCTAGATCCAAGAGCACTAACACGCCTGAATTTATTATGAAATAATTTTTATGCTGTTTATATTTTCTCTTTTGTTGTTTAATTCATGGAATCATTTCTATTGGTGAATTTTCTGAAAAGCAATGTTTGTGGGGCACCACGACTTCACATCAAAAACTTTTTCTGTTTTTTTCTTTTAACTCCTTTCTGTTATCTAGTTTGCAAGAACTTCCTCAGTGAAATGAATTAGATGTTTGCAGAGACAAATTGGATTTCAGAAGCCTTCCTTTGTTTATGATCATAGTGGTGAACAGTATCACATTACTGAGAGTTGGGTCTCTTTTTTAATGTGAACTGCATGTTTTCCCTTTTTTTTTCAGATTGGAGAAACTTTGGTTTTCATCTGATAGTCATCTAGGGAGCTCCAAATATTGCTTGTATCTTCTTAATTATCAGGTGAAATGGGGCTGGAGCATTTAGTCTGTCATGTTAGTTTATTTTGTGCTTTACCAACTTACAGTTTTTTGAAACTTTTTCCACTCATACTTAACTTTTAAGATATTTTTTCTAAAAGAAAAGTTTTTAGAGGTCATTCTGCCTATCTATGTTCATTTTAGGATGCTTCTGTTTTTTTTATTGTTTTTCTTTTCTTGGCACTTCCAGTATTTCCTGGGAGCAATCCATTTCCAACATTTAGCATGGACATTTGGGGGATCTCCATTTATCTGAGCTTTTAGAGGGTCCAAGTTGATTATACTGTAAGCCAAGCCATCACTCTTAGTATATTTGCTATATTATTCAGATTGGATAAAGAGCATTTTATCATGGGTGTGTGCATATAATTTCTCAACTTTGAGTCGCAATCTAATTAATCCTGGGTGTATTGTCTGTATCTTAATATTTTTTTAAAAAAATGTTATTTCTCTTAATATGGCAATTTATTTGTTTCCGCTTTTGATCTAGAGCACAACTGTATTATGTATTCCAATTCATGATCTGCAGAGGGAAGGCAAATAATGGCAGGGAGCAAGTCTGTCTCATCTATACTTGATGAGCTTCATAAGATTGGATTAAGCCCTGTGGAAAGCTTAGAGTTTTCGGAGTCTTATGTTCTTAAGGACAAGAAGACTAAATCAAGTTTTGAACATCATATACTGGAGCCACAGAGGATGACCAGCATATCTACTATTTCAAGAGTTGCTGATCATGTTTCTGAATCCCGATCTGATCCATTGGCTCTACAATCTTCTTTGTTCAGTGAAGGGAACATAATGGATCTTAGTGGGTCACATTTTGAGAATGGACTTTTCTCTAGTTCTTTATCAGATATATTCAACAATAAATGTGTGTTTTCCTCCTTCCCTTTTTTATACTTTGGTACTATTTTAAATAATGCTGCTATGAGATGCCTAAGTTCTTCTGAGGCAATTGTTGTTTTCTGTTTAATATATGTTTTTGGAGTGAAGTTTTATGCATTACTTGTTGAATATAGCTTCGTCACAGGTTATATTAATGTTTTTGGATTGATTATGTTTAATTTCATTAACTTTCGTGGCAGTGAAATTGTCATCAAATGTTGTTCAGTCTGTTCATTCAGTTAACTCGAACTTTGGTGAAGAAGTGTTCTTTGAATCAATGGAGGACATCGAAGCTCAAACTATTGGGAACCTCCTTCCTGATGATGATGAATTGCTATCTGGTGTTACTTACGATAAGGGATATACTGGTAAACCCAATGATGAGACTGATGTTGATGATGACATATTTTACAGTGGTGGTGGTATGGAACTAGAAACTGATGATAAAATAAATGAGAACAAAACATATGAATTTGCTGGTGGAGGAGCTTCTAATTATCAACAAGGCAAACTAAATGGCCCATTTGCCAGTGAACACCCATATGGTGAACATCCCTCTAGAACTCTTTTTGTTAGAAATATCAATAGCAATATCGAGGATGGTGAACTAAGAGCTCTTTTTGAGGTGCTATTTTTGTGCCACTTGATCTTCTTACTTGGTCATTCTTAGAGTGAATGGTTTCAGTAATGTCCATAGATTTCTTAATTTCTGATTTCTTTCTCCTGCTTTCTTCAGCAATATGGGGACATACGGACACTCTATACTGCTTGCAAGCATCGTGGTTTTGTTATGATATCCTACTATGATATAAGGGCAGCACTAAATGCAATCCAAGCACTCCAAAACAAGCCGTTGAGGTGTTGGAAATTGGATATCCACTTCTCTATTCCAAAGGTAGCAACTTCTTTCCTTGTTTCTTGACTGGTGTAATGCCATCGCAGTTCAATAAAAAGTTCTAGAAGTAATCTGCTCCTTTGTTCCAGCCATTTTAGAAATTTTTATTTCTTCTCCTGATTTTTTTAAAAAAATAAGTTCTCTTGAAATTTAATTTAAAGTGGTTAACACAGATATATTGAGAACCTTAATTTTTTTAATGGCATTAGTACCACAAGGAGATGTGACATGATTTGCATAATTGTCCGACAGGGTTTGTATAACGTGTCACCTCTTCTACAAAAGAATTCTCCAATAAATTGTGGAAAATAGAAATGGGTCTTTACAATTGTCTTTGATACCTCTATTGTGAAAGATTGGTGTATGCTGCAAAATGAGCTTTTGAACTGAGATTTGAACCAGTATAGACGTAGCGCCAATGAATTCTTTGCATCATACAAGGATACAATGCCATGGATATAAATTGAAAGTTTAGCTTAAGAGTAACCAATTGATGTACCTTTACGAACTGCAAATATTTTAGATGTATCTGAACTTAAGGATGCACAGGATTTGGTTTTATCTGAATTGTTACGAAATTTTCAAACTGAACTAAAATATGTTTGGTTTTCAGTATTTGGAACTGAATTTAACTGAATCTTAGGATAAAACTGAATTGAATTTATTTAGTTTGGTATAGTTTTTTATTCACTTTGTAAGATAAAGATGCTGTATCAAATTCACGATGATAATATGTTATTTCTTTATTTACACATGTTTCAGTTAAATACTATAATCAACCATTTTTATGACTATAAAATATATTATTTCTTTATTTACAAGATGTATTATTATATAGTATTTGGTTATGTTCATTTTTTGCAATTTTTGAACTGAAAATTGAATCGAATGGAGAGTTGTTTGGTATCCAACATTTCAAACCAGCCTGAAACTACATAAAATATAAATAAAAATATCAAATAGTAACAAATATGCTAGTGTGAATCATTTTCTCTGTTGGACCTCTTCATTTAACACAAGATAATGTGTTGAAGGCAAGAAATGTGTTATATAGTTTAAATATTCTTCCTCAATAGGTTGATGTTATGGTGGTGTGACTTGGCCTATTAGCCTATCTAGTCAACATGGTGAAGCACTGAAGAATGGGGCCTCTTGATCGGTCTTAGCCTGTTGAACCCTAAAATGATATGCTCATTCAATTGTCCACATTGCTTGTGTATTTTATACGTTAAAGTTGGGCATATCATCTTCACTCTGGAAGCCTATCGAGATGCAACTGTAGAGTGAGAATCCATCCATTTTGTGGGTCGAATACCACTATTGTATTATAAATTTTCGTTTGGTGTTTTCACTTGCAGATGTCGGAGAAATGGCTGAAACATGTTTTTTTTTTTTGTCATATTTTCCTTTTTGATCTTCTTCCATCTCTCATATTATTAGCCATAGTTTTGGCACTTCGTTACAACAACACTTTATTGGTCTATGATTTGTCCATGTTCAGAATTTAACTGTTTGCTATATATCCCAAATAATTGCACAAAATGAAAAAAGTTCATACATGTCAGATATTCTTTGCTGACTGACCAACAGTTCAGACACGTCAGGATATAACACCATCAATGCATCCTTAAATTCATATAAATTCTTTTTCTGCTTTTCCCGCTAGATTCTACCACAAGGTCAAGTGATAGGCTGAATTCAGTCACAGTTCAGATGATATGTAAACTATTCAGTAGATAATGTTAAGTTGTTTAACCATGATCGAGATATTTTAGACAAACCAGAAATTTAGTTTTCAGTGAGGGGATCTTTATTTTCTGATTTATCCGAAATAACCAAATAGGAAAAGTGATTCAGGTATTCCAGTTGTCCTATGAAAATTTGCTTTTTTTCAACATATTGGATCTGAAAACAGATATTTGATCTTTGCTGATGCTATCATGAGAATTAGGAGCGTAAAGCTTGTCAAATTATATTTTTTCATCATGCAATAGCTATGTACTGTCAACTGGCAAATGTGAAAAACCTGAAAATGGTTGTTTACTAGTTGTAATTGGTGCCTCCCGCTGATGTCTGGATCTTTTGGCAGATGATTCTGCCTTAAACTATCAAGTTATCTATTGATAAGATAGTGCAGTCTCCAAATTCCATTAGACCAGGAATCTCACATTCTTTAGAGTTAACCTCATTCTTCCTGCTTACAGACATCAGTTGAATTGACATTTTTTTGGCCAACTTTTTGTATTCTTGCATATTGTTTTCAAAGTAGCTAAAAGCATAGTGTTAAGTTGTTGAGAATGACCAGCTATTGTCTACTTCATGAAATTTCGTAGTATCTTTTTTTTCAAGGAACTTGGTGAGTTTCATGAAGTAATGTCCATTTCATGAAATTTCGTATCTTGCTTGTCCATGCCATCTCTTTTATAATGATCATCTGGGTCTCCCACCAATGTCATATTATTGGCTTGACCTATAAATTACTTGAATCTTTTGAAGGAAGGGTAGGTTGCTTTGGAGTTCTAGGGGACATTGACTTATCTGCAACAAGGAACTTTTCAATCATTTTCATGGTTGTGAATTCTGGTGGTTATCCAACTTTCTTTCTAATGCTAGGAGTCTCATACTTTGATGTCTACATTGTTTTCTTTAAAACATTTTATTCTGTGTAACCATTAACCTGCAACCAGTGACCTAGCTGATAAGATAACCCATAGGACAACTAGACTGATAAATGGTGCCATGTAGAAGCAATATTGTTCCTAACAGATTCTTCTTTGGGGGGTGAAGAAGAGACTTATTGTTGTAAATGATACTGACTTCTTCACCTTCATCCTGGAAAAATGGAGATAAGCCTAATCTTATCATGATGGTCTCTTTCACCCTGGCATCATCTCATTGTCAATCCACTTGCTAAGAATGTTAGTATATTTACTTACTCATTTACACTGATTATATATTCTTGTCATGCATGTAAATTCTTCTACTGTACCATCTTTGTGTATTGAACATGTCTTTTCCTGTGATGTATGTGTCGATGCCTCCAGATTACAAATATTTTGTAATGACATGCACTTGAAATTATTAGGACAACCCTTCTGAGAAGGATGTAAATCAGGGTATGCTTTTGGTATTCAACCTGGATTCCTCTGTTACAAATGATGATCTCCATCAGATATTTGGAATTTATGGTGAAATCAAAGAGGTAATGTACTTTTTCTGCTTCAATATTGTATAGCTTGTTATACTAAAACTTGAGTTTAAGTTTTTTTATATTATGATAATAAAGTCAATATTGTCTTTAATTCCCAAATTTGACCTTGATAGATATGCAGCACTCAACATAAGTGTCATCACAAATCCATAGAATTTTATGATGTTAGAGCTGCTGAAGCTGCTCTTCATGCCTTAAATGGGAGTGATATTGCTGGCAGGAAAATTAGGCTTGAGCTTAGCCACCTTGGAGGTGCAAGATGGTGGGTATTATCTAAGCAAACTCAGTTTTGTTCCCATATTCATAATGTCCTGTAGCAGCTTTGTCTCTGTATATATCTATTTAGTTGGTGATTTTTTGGGAAATGATATGGAAAGTTAAGTGGATTTTTGGTTGTTCATTATTCTTTATTTAATTTAATGCTATCTTTTAATATGTCTTGTGGTGTTCTATCATTCTTATTTATGTTACAAAAATAGCTGGTCAAATTGATTATTTAGCTATATTCTTATCTTGTGAGTTTTGAAGTAGTCACTGTTCTGGATTTCATTTACAATTTTGTGTCAGCTACTCAGCTTTAATTTTTTAGTTCCAAGTATGATAAATCAATTTGAAGTGTTGGAAGCTTGGTACATGGTATTGTTATTTCATTTTCATGTCTTAGTATGTATAATTGTACACATTTAAAATGCATCAAAATTTTGAACAGGCACTCCATTTCTTCATTCTTTTATTTTCCCATTAACTAATTTCTAGGATTCAGCTGAGCTTTCATAATGGAGGGTCATTCACGAACTAATTTAATGAATAATAATCTTCTTGGCTCTTTTGAATTTTGTTGTTTATTACAACCACCCTTAATATTTATAGAGCTCCTGCCATACCTATTCATATTAATATAGCCTCTCTCAGTACTCAGCTGAGTGAGTTTTTGTTGAACAGAAAGTTTTCTCACGATAATGGATGGTTCAATAGTCATGATACCTTGTTGGATCTATGTTCAAAAATTGTACTGTAGTGGACCTGAAATTCAAAAACTGGCATGTTCAGTTTTGGGCCATGCTTGTCTTTTGTGTTAATAATACAATTGGATAGACAATAACCACAAAGACTGAAAAACTCATCATATGGGATCGTTTTTCAGCATTAACTTTCTTATCTAGGATCTTGTGCTCTGTTATCTGAGTAATAGAACTTATAGAAGTTGATATAGTCAGGTATACTGTGCATTTCTACTATCAATGGGTCATCTATATTCTTATTTACTATTGGCAGATATGAAAATGAGATCTTGTATGGTTGCACTGCATCTCAGATGCAAGTGTTTGTCTATTGGTGATGGTTGAAAAATATTTTTGACAACAGAGTGAACTAGGAACTGAGATTGAAATGGCATGGTAGTATTTTAGAACATGTCTTGATGCTCCATGTATCATATTGTTTGGTAGAAAAAAAATAAAACTAAATCAAATAAATGGAACTCTCTCTGTTGGTTATCTCGGGTTCTTAATTTTTTTTATGAATGCTTCAACTAAAATTGTTATAAATTCCATATGGCCCCCTTAGATTGACTATTTTGACATTAAAACCTCACCCTAGATTAACTTTTTGGACATTCTTAATGTTATGTCCAATTGTCTATAGTTAATTTACAATTTATCTTTCTTTTCGAATAGACAGGTGCATGAACTGATATGCATTACTTGGCTTGTGACCCATATAGCGAACTAATCTTCCTTTGTGTATGGGGTCAATGCTAATACCCATGGCTACTAATATGTAGCCAGCTTCACGGGAAGAGAATGTAGTTTAACGTGCAATTTTTTTGGGTGTACTATTGTATTTTGGAGTGAAAATTTTAAGTTCAAGTTTAAGCCAGATAGTTTATCTTTAGTACAACATATATCATTAGCAAAATATTATGGTTTTGTTTTGCGTAACAATAGAATCTAGTTCACTTTTCTTATCCTTTTTATTCAGTATTAAGCAGATTATATTTTCTTTCTAGACAAAGCTTCTGTTGGTTCTTCTTTTGAGCTGACAGTCTTCAGATCAATATCTTCATATGGTATTTTACTAATTTGTATACAACATTTAGCCTATGCAACCGTAGGCTGGTAACTGAAAATTTGGTCCTATTGGTTCGGGTTGGAAGTAGTGTTGTGATGTTTGAGAAAAGCCCCTTGCTTACTGCTTCCTTTTTTTATTTACACGAAAATAAGTTCAATAATTGAGGAAAGGATATTTTCTGGTACTATGATATCGAAATGTCGCTAGCAGTCTACATTGCATGCCATGCAGGCATGCACAGTACTATTATATTATCAGTTATAGGTGTTTCATCTGGAATTACACTTACTCTCATAACTATTAACTTTTAAATACCACCGATGTTTAATTTTGCATTTTGACTATCATATATAGTGACACATTTCCTTTACCAACAGCTTCACGCAACAGTTATCTCCAGAGCTGAACCAGGAAGAATTACATGGATGCTGGCATGAAAGTCCAAATAACTATCTCCCTGGGTGCTTTGGTATGATTATTTGGGCTTTGATTTTCAAATGATACGTGACTAAATGTGTTATGTCGCTTCTCATGTCAGGTTATGTTTCTGGCCTACATAATTTACCTAAATGTCAAAATTTCAGGACCATCCTCGCTTGGAGTAAACACATCCAAAGGTCTTGAAAATGGAGCTATCCAAGGTCTAAAATCTGCGGTTCGAGCACCATTCAACCCAATTATAGAGGCCACATTCCATGGAATGTCATCTAGCATGTCTCAGAATTTACCTTCCCCTATAAGAGTTGCATCAGTTGGTAACATTGAAGCTGCCCATTCTGACATCACGCATTCACTGGGCCAGATGAATTTTGAATTTCAAGATATGCCTGGTTTTCATCCTCGTTCCCTTCCAGATTATCACGATGAAGTAAATAATGACATTCCTTACCACTCAAGTACTATGTCAGCCGTGGGTACCGGTGTCATATCCAGACCTGTTGAAGGAATTGATAAGAGGCATCTACAAAAAGTAGGATCTGCTAGCTTCAATGGGCATGCTACTGATCACAATGAAGGTATGGACAATGAACCATTATTTTCATTTTCTGCACTTTTTATTTGGTTAGAATAACTTCTCGTTACCAATGTTGCATCTGTTTCTGATCAATTTTGAGTGCTAATTTTGTTGGCTTTTGGTGAGTCATTTATCATTATAAAAAAGATAGGTTTTCAAGATCTCTTTCCCTTTATTGCTTTCTTGATTATTGCCTGATGTATATTATTACTTGCAGCATTTTGTTCTGCAAATGGAAGCTGCTCTCTTCAGGGACATCAATATGTATGGAATAATACAAATGTGTTCCACCATAAAACCCCTAGCCCCATGTCATGGTCAAATCCACCATCATTTATAAACAACATTCCTACTAATCCATCTCAGATCCATGGAATTCCTAGAGGACAATCTCATATGGTAAACACGGTTGTTCCTTTACACCATCATGTTGGTTCGGCACCTGCTGTCAATCCATCACTTTGGGGCAGGAGACATACCTATGGTGGGGATTCCATTGAACGGCCTGCTTTTCATCCTGGATCTCACGGAAGCATGGGGCTTTCTGCAGCTTCTCAGTTGCATTGGCTAGAACTTACTTCTCATAACATATTTTCTCGTGTTGGTGGAAACTGTATGGACCCTTCTGTTTCTCTTGCACATATCGGTATTCTTTCACCTCAACAAAGGGGTCATATTTACCATGGAAGGAATCCAATCTTCCCCATGCCTGGTTCATTTGATGGTCCTACTGAGCGGATCAGGAGCCGAAGAAATGACACAAATGCTACTCAGAGTGATAACAAGAAGCAGTATGAACTTGATATTGAACGTATTATATGTGGTGAAGACTCTCGAACGACACTTATGATAAAGAACATCCCCAATAAGTATGCTGAATTCTTATTTTCACTCCTTTTTGGCTATATGAATGTAAGTTATCTGCTTGTTATTCATTCCCATTAAACTGTTTTATCCTGGTCTATATAGATACACCTCTAAGATGCTGTTGGCTGCTATTGATGAAAATCATCGAGGAACTTATGACTTCATCTATTTGCCAATTGATTTTAAGGTAACTGCAGTAACTTGCTATTGATGGGCATACCTGCATCCGTTATTGATTTACTCATTGGGTATGTGTGGTTCTCTACTTTCCAGAACAAATGCAACGTTGGCTATGCGTTTATAAACATGGTCAATACTCAGCATATCATTCCATTTTACCAGGTTTGGTACTTTATGAATCTTAAGCCTTTGAATAGTTAAGTTGAATGCTTTGTCTCTGGTGCTATCCACCAAATAGTAGTATCCTTTGTTGATCTTGACATCTTTAACATTATGTTTAACTTTCATATTAATAGTGTTCTTTCTTTCTTCAGTTTTTAGCATGTTGTGACTATTACTGCTATTTAGATTGTAAACTGAAAAAAAGCATTTAGATGATTATGTGATGTCTCTTGCTTCCTTGTATCAGCATTGTGTTTGGTTCTGTTGCACAATTGAAGGTATGAAATGCTAAAACATTGTATCCTATGCAGTCATTTAATGGTAAGAAATGGGAGAAGTTTAACAGTGAAAAAGTAGCATCACTTGCATATGCCAGAATCCAAGGGAAAGCAGCTCTGATTGCTCATTTCCAGAACTCAAGTCTGATGAATGAAGATAAACGCTGTCGTCCTATCCTCTTCCATACAGATGGTCCTAATGCCGGGGATCAGGTATGAGGCATCATTTTTCATTATTCATGGTTCGGATTTCTTTCTCACGCTTTGCTCTTGGTTGTTAGTGGTTTATCCTGCAATGTACATTATTGTGTTCTGTCGAAAAAATTTAGCATCATTAACGGAATCTGGTCGATAATAGTCTCCTCTATTGCTGTGTTCTTTGTCTGTATCAGAATTGACATACTTTATCTTTCATACTACTTATTGGTTTTTGAGTAGTGGCGGATCCAAGATTTTGCTTTTTTTTTTGGGAAATTTTGGGGGGAGTGGACAATAACATTTATATGAACACTGTAAGTTTATGTCTCTATAATTGTCTGAAACCTTCTTGCTTGTTGGTATTTGCATAAATAATTTTGGTAAATGAAATTTCTGAAAATATAAAAGACTATGTTAATAATTATTCATAAAGGGAGAAGTTTTCAACAAGAAACGATGAGAAACAATTAAAATTTCCAGAAAACACAAGAAAAGCATATGCCATGATGTTATATGATATTACTCATCTTTAATCGTGAGAACTTATTATGGTATTTCTTGAAGTTTTATTTTGAAGTTTAAGCATGACATACCTAATACAGCTACCTACTCTGAAATTAGAGTTGTTGGACTATTAGATACATCCTAATAATGCTGTAACCTTCTAATTTGTTAAGAAGGTATGTTTCTTCCTACCAATCTAATTGAGCAAGTGCCAAAAATGCATGAACTTGTATGAGAAATTTTCTTAATAATTTGATAAAGCCTCTATTGAATTATTTGCAAAAATTTTGATGCCTTTATATTGTGATGGTCTTATATGCTGGCAAGCGGCAACATTTTCAAATAAACTCAGGCAGCAAACATTCTAACAAATCAATTTGTTTACCAGCACAAAAAGGAAATATGAACAGATATTTAATAATGGCAGTTCCTTGGAATTCTCATTATCATTATTTTTTTGGCTTGTACAGGAGCCCTTTCCTGTGGGCACTAATATCAAGTCAAGGTCAGGCAGATGGAGGACGGACAGTAGTGAAGAGAACCATCAGGGAGATAAGTCCACCTCTGCAAATGGAGAAGCCTCTTGTGTTGCAGCGGTTTCCCCTTCGGGTCCACAAAAGATTTGAGTGAGAACAATGCCACCTATTGGAGGGGCATTGACTTTGAGGCCATATCCATAGTCTGGTGATCACATATGCAATATGCTGTGTTATGGTTGCACCTGGATGCTATTTGAAGTGCATTACCAAGTTCTTGGACTATTTCATCAGGATTTCATCAAAATTACTGAGTCAAAATGGGAAAGGTGCTGGGAGAGCCCCAAGATTTTGGATATACACAAAGAGTAAAAAGAACGATGTACAGATATTTCGGTAGAGGAAAATAGGTTTTTTCTCGCGGTTTTGACATATCCTCTCCGTATTTTTCTCCTTTTCTAAGCCACCCATTGGTGTATTTGTTTCTCCGAGTTCTTCGAATTTGTTACATCGTCACACATATTTATATCAATACTTATCGCGCTCTTTCTTTTCATCTCTTTGTGGATATATTTATATCTTTGATATACGCACGTTTCTATATTGCAAACACAACATAAAGGAGATTCACGAATCCCCCTTGATAATATGGGAAAGGGATTCGGATATGCGCCACCGGCATGGTTGGTTTTCGTGAATATATAAAAATCCGATCATGATTTTTGAATAAGACATCTTAATTTTTTTAATCCTTTATTTTTTGTTCAAGTGGTCAGAATCAGACAATATTAGCAAAGTTGATACCTCATGAAGATTCAAAGGATGCTGTCGGGACACATCAGTTATCCCTTTCTTGATTCTCGAGTGTCAAGAAGTCATCTTCTCGGGTTGACAATAGGAGGCCTATAAATATTATATTATATGGGAAATGATTCTCGCATGCTAACTTTGCATGCGGGGCAAGTCACAATGGACCAAATCAAAAAGCTTACTTCAAACAACTTTTGGAAGGTCTCAAGTCTCAATCATTTTGAACCTCCCTCATTGAAATGTTGATTGTTGACTTGGAAATTGTCGGTCGGTGGTGGATTCTGATTCTTTTGTTTCCTTTCTTCTGCTCTTCATCCATACTCTCTCTCTCTCTCTCTCTCTCTCTCTCTCTCAAAGGAAAAGTCAAAAATCTAATGTCATTGGTGTAGTTTGACATGTACTAGTCAAAAATATCCCATAGGTTGCGTCCGAGATGGATTACTAAATGATAGTAGTAACAATGTCAACCAAGCAATCCCTGATTCATTTATTCATACAAATTTTCCCAAGACTTTATTAATGAATCCAACATATAGTCATATTAAATATATATATAGTTATTTTTTATTATATCTTAGCTTATATATGGTAAAACATAGCAAATGGGTTGCTCATCTGATAGACAAATCAAGATAAAAATTGGCTCACCTGACTCATTCATGTTTTCAGATGATTGATTATATGATAATTAATTTATTTTGTGATTTAAATTATGATAAGATAGGTTGCAAATGGACAATCTTATCCTTACGTTAAAACTCATCTTTATATTCTATCTACCGTTAACAATCATACAATTCATGAGATCAGCATTCTATAAGCTTGACACCTGCAACCTCAAACCCTTGGCCACTATTACGTGCATGGAGTCGACGCTTGCATGCAACGGACCGATAAGGTTTGACTCGCATTACTTCTTCTCTCCAAAGATATATTTAGCTTGCATAGCTCTTCGTCGTCCTTCGACAACTGTGGTGGGAGTGACACAAGCCACCTGCCATGGCTACCGCAAGGTGGGAGTAGGAATGTCAGAATTCAATGGATGGTGGCCTACCAGTTAGGAAGACGGTGCCAATCCACTGAAGCGGGGTCAGAAGTCAAGGGCACCACAGTGGCTGCAGTCTTGAAGCACAGAGACGGGTTTGACGAAGAACAACGCAGCATGAGGTGGATATACTACGATGCAGGAGGCAAGCTCGTCTTCCACCTAATCGGACTCACGATAGATCGTTGCACAACACATCTTGGAATATGGCAGAGATCAAGAAAACGCTGATTTCAAGAGGTCATCTGAACAAAATTTTGCCTTCAACTTTAAGCATGTTTTTGAGAGAGAGAGAGAGAGAGAGAGTCCAATGATACCTAACAATGATTAAGATGCTGAAACATACATGATGAAGACAGAGATGGGCTAGCGTGTTGCATGTGGTTTGATGCCAAAAATTTCTCATATTGTGCATAATGCATGTTGCATGTTGTTTGACGCCATAATTTTGGAGGACCATCGAGACATTCAAGTCATTAAATGAAGCTTGACACTTGGTCGACCATGGCGATGGTAGGTGTTGTGTTGCTTTTAGGTATCATATTAGCAATAGTATTACGCTTCTTTACTGACCACGAAATAAAAGACTAATTCCTGTTATCAACAATCATACTCTTGTTGACGATTGTGTTCCAAACAACTCATAATTGACCAAAGATTCAAGATATGAAGCTAAAGAGATGGATCAATGGTCAAGTCTTACCATATCAAAAGCCAACTAGTTTGGCACACAAAGGCATAATAAGCACGTCACCCATGGGCTATATACTCTTTCTGGTTCCAATGGGTTACTCCAAAACTACCCTAGTGTTTGGCCATACATCATAGTTAAAGATTAAGGAAGATAAAAGGTTTAGCTTGGAGAAATATGTGTGGGGATTAGAATGGAGAAGGCAAAGGAAGACATATGAAAGCCAAAGACTCCAGAAGAACAAACCCAAATCAATCTAGAGTTTCATGATACAATTAATTAGGTACGGTAAGAGAGGCCAATCTAACTGTGGTTAGAAACAAGGTTTAAGTATATAAATATATCATCTTAGCATGTTTTTGTCATTTGGTAAAAGCACAAAGCAAATGATGATAAAATATGTTTGATTCATCTCAAAAGGACAGATATCTGTGTCATGTTATTATTGATTTCATTACTTGCATGTACAAACCAAACCAAACAATTCCACACCTTCTGATTCAAGCATTGTTATCTCTAGAATCCCTATGATCAAATTCTTTACTTGTCAATGATTACAGCTTATCAAGAAATTCAATTTTGATTAGGAATCCTTATGGCAATATATATATATATATATGATTTATGACTTCTTGAACATATGGGAGAAGGTGATGATGAATAAAAGTTCTTACTGGAGTGTGTCTCTTATGTTATTGTCAGCCTTCATATTGCTTGTAGTTACTACAATGAAGCGTGTGTCACATTTTTGGCTTCCCTCCGAGTGTGTGTGTATGGGAGAGTTGATTGACATCAATCAAACACACGCATTCCACATACAAAATTTGGTTGGTCTAATGGTCTAAAAGGGGAGGAGGCATCAAATATGAGTACGACTTAATGCCGTCACAGCCAATAAAAGCAACCCACCCAACACTCTTAACATTGCCTCCTCTCATCACAATCTCTCTCACTCCTTCCACTCTCTTCTGTCCTCCTTTTCCTTCCTTCTTCTATCTGTTATCTTCTCCTTCAAGCATATATATACATATATATATCTTCTTCTGCTCATCTATTTCCTTTTCTTGTTCTTCTTCCTCATCTTGTCATCTACCAGCAGGAGAGAGAGAGCGAGAGAGAGAGAGAGAGAGAGAGAGGATAATAGACTATTAGAAGGTGGATCGAAGGCATGGGAAGCGGCCTCTTCGTTCTGATGAGGCACCAGAGGAGAAGGAAGAAGAGGGCGGCTTGTCATCCCACTGTATCCCGGCTCGCGTAGACCAAGAAGCGTCGGCCATGGTGTCTGCCCTCACCCACGTGATCAGCTCTGTCTCCCCGGTCGTCGGTGCCGGAGGAGATGAGCTGGTGGCGGAACCGGATGCTAGTTGTGGATCAGGGCCAGGTTCCATGGAGATCGGAACACAGGCTTCCGAAGAGCAAGGTACATGTAGCTTCTGTCTGCGGTCTCTTGTGGTAGCAAGTAATGTGCTCTCTCTCTCACACACACACGCATGCAAGATATGTAGGTAGGAGGCACTACAGGGGAGTGAGGCAAAGGCCGTGGGGGAAATGGGCAGCAGAGATCAGAGACCCGAAGAAGGCCGCTCGTGTATGGCTGGGGACCTTCGACAGGGCCGAGGACGCCGCCATGGCCTACGACGAGGCCGCCCTAAGGTTCAAGGGCACTAAAGCCAAGCTCAACTTCCCCGAGAGAGTCCAAGGCCGCACCGACCTCGGCTTCCTGGTGACTCGAGCAGCACCCGAACGGCAACCCCAACCGCCGGCGACTTCATATCCGGACCTGCGTCAGTACGCTCAGCTCCTCCAGAGCGGGGACGCAGACGTGCACAACGCGGCCCTCGGCCTCTACGCCGGAAGCACCATCACGTCGACGTCCTTGTCTGGCTCTTCGCAAGAGACGCAGGATTTATCTTCTCGATCGCAGTTCACGAGCTCTTCCGCTTCCAGCTCGTGGCCTCAGAGTGGCCAGAAGGAGAAAGATCAGCGGCCACCAACCATGTAAATGACGGCTTTGAGACGGTGATAAAGAGAGAGAGAGAGAGAGAGAGAGAGAGAGGCGCAAGTGTGCCGCGTCAAAGATACAAAAGATTGCGATGACTCCTTGTGCTTATCCCGGAAGAGTTCAATTAGAATCATGCATTGTCATGAGCCTTATCCTAAGCCTCTTGTGTTTGCTGTGTCATCCATCCCAAGTGCGCAGCAGCAACATCAATAGGAGGGGAAGCTTCTCCTCAAGATTGACTCTCCAGGCTGCCATTGATTCTGAGTCTACACTATGTTTCAGCATAAATGACAACTTATCCATTCGTATGGGGTTACGAAAAGTTTTGCTTGCGGCAGAAGTTTACATCTTTTCTATAATAAACATAATTTAGAAAAGCAAATTTTATTCTACTTTTATTGTGAATTTAGCATATTTAAAATAAGAAATTAAATCGAAAGGGTCATGCAGCCACATATGCTTGCAAGTTCTAAGCATGGACGGACGGATCACAACAGAATGCTTATTGCTGCTTCTTTTCTGCTTCATCTCTCAACCGATAGATAGATAGCACTCTTCTTAGATAGAACAGAAGAGGTTGATCTCCTCCTCTCTCTTTGTTCTCTCCTCTTGCTCTTCGTAGAGGAGGAGTAGAGCTACCACGATGGATAGAAGGTGAGAAGAGGGAGTCGTGGTTGGAACTTACGACTTGAGCAAGGTTGGCTTCTTGAGGAGGTAATGATCTTCTTCTCACTTAGGCTGCGATTGAAGGAGTCCTCATGTGATCGATCAGCACTCGTTATTGGAGATCCGTTGACGAGGTAACTCCTAAGCATGCAAGGAGTTGCGCGTCTCCTACCCATGCACCTTTTGTTCTTGGTCGTCCATCTTTGCTAGGCTCGACACCTACACGGACTAAGACTCGACCAAGCGGTGTGCTGATATTGATCAGTCACCCATTGCTTCGATTTAATGTGATTTGTATGAGCCGCATCTCACTTCAATAGTTGAGATTGGTGTTCCTTGCTTTGAGATTTCTTTTGTTTTGATTTGTCATTGTGGTGGGTATCATTGCGTCTCATCATGTTCTCTACACGCGTCATTCTAATGAGGTTCTCCTCGAGGGTTTCTTTTCTCTTATTGGAGCTTCAAGTTTACTGTTCTCTTTTGATTTCTTCTCCTCTTTTCTCATGTTGGAGATAGATTTTAGTTCCTTGTATGCTAAAGTAAAAGCCACGACATATGTCAAGTCTTTCATCAAACCAATCAAAGCTGTGAGAAACTTTCTTTCATTCTTTTAGAATTGATGCTTTTGGGCTTGACAAAAGTAAACAACATCTCGATCCAATAAGTATGGGATCTCAACGATGACTCGACGTATGTTAAGCAGAATCACCTCGCATGTTACATCATCGATGAATTCCTTTTTATCTTGTATTGTTGGTTGATCTTCATCTTCACATCATCATGAAGTCATCCAAGAGGATACGAGCATAGATGCGATGTCAAAAATCACGCAAACAACTTCTTGCTTCACTTAAATCTTTATGGTAAAGAGCTCTTATCGAACCTTTGAACCGGAGGTCGAACTCAGAGTCTATAACCTTTAGTCTAACCATCAGCAATAGATCGTCGTGGTCCGCTAACTTTGATCGTCCATCTTTGTTGGGGCTCGAGTCCAACTTGAACTATGACTCAGCCTAAGTGATGTGCTAATGTGGGGTTAATATGGATAAATCTCCCAAGAGGTGTGCTAATGTGCAAACGGGAATATGATTGAAATGGTTAAGATTGGCATTGATCTCGACTCAGTAAGATCCTGATCACCAAGAGACTAAATGCAGCCAACGATCAATACATCTCAGAACAGCAATGCAAGCATGCATGCATGCAATCTCGTTGGAAGACAAGTTAGATCGAGAATAGTGCAAGAAAGAGTTTGGTCGACCATTAAATGTAACTCTCACTTTTAACGTGGGCGAAAGAAGAACACACCCACCGTCTGCAGTCTTCTAATGTGATCGGAAAGCCACGGCTTTCTGTTCATGAGGAAAGACTCCACGATGTCAGTCAAAGAGAAGAAGAGCAGAGAGGAGGAAGGTCTCGGAACTGTTTTGAGTTACGATCGAGAGTGCGTGTTGGGATTTTGTTTTCGTTTTCATGTTTATGCTTTTTGTCGTGGTGTTTTCGTCGACGTGAATCAAAGGGACGGTGTGGCGTGCGGTGCTTTCGGCTCTCACGTCAATCTTTGCGGCTCAACACTTTTGACTCTCCCAAAGCTTTTGGAGCCTTTCGCGTTCCATATGTCATTCGACAAAACCTCTTTTGGCTCGATTTTGTTGTGTTGTTGTCAAAACAAAAGTCTTAGGTTTCCGAAACCTATTCAAATTAATCATAATCTTTTGAATATTTTTTTTTTATTTTCAGTTTGATTCTTATTTCTCGAAAAAAAAACTCACTTGTTTTTCTCCATATTCCTCTTTCTTTCTTGGATTTGATTCCAATATGATAATGTGAAAAAGGTAAAAATCATATTATGATAATCTTCAAAATTAACATTCTTCTTCGTATATATTGAAAATAAGGATTTTTCTTATCGATCGTCGATCAATTCATAATACATATTGCTACAAATACATGGATATCGTCGATAGATCCACTCTAACACATGATTTAAATTATCATTTTGGTTAGCATGATTATAAAGAAATCTAATTAAAATGTCCCCAATAGAATCTCGCATTTTCGAGTAAATTAAGCTTGAACCATAGTCGTAAGACAATCAAATTACGTTCAGTGTCACTCGAAAGAATTTCGCAACACGAACTATCAAACATTCTAGATTACCAAAACCTTGTTAAAATAAATCCAACACATTCTTTTCATCAATTACTTATTAACATACTTAATGTGGGTTTCTTTGGCGGTGCAAATCACATCTTTGTATGCATTATTTGATAAATGGGTTTCTTTTGATCATTTGAAGCTTCTCCCTGTCACCACCAATATCAAGTAGCATCCACCCCACTCTACTAAACTTTAAAGATCTCTCCTTGTGGAAGAAGGTAAGCAATGATGGAGAGATAAGAACATGCTTTCATGTGACCACCTAAACAAGTTAGGCATCTCAAGTTTCATGCTGTGATGCACCTTTTGGGTGGTCTCCTCCATTGGTTCATTCTTCATGTCCCTTCTCTTTAGTAGCTTCTTTTTCTGTTAATTTACTTCTTCCAAGACAAGTCTTTAAGATTTCATTAGAGCCAAGAACACAAAAGCAACATTGTTTTATTCTTTTTTTGGGGGAAAAAGGGGATCAGTAGATTAACTCAACATCACTTCATACTCAACATTAGCCAACTTGTGGATTAAGTAGTTAGAATTTCTAGGTAAAGAATTGGAACACTCAACTTGTGTTTGATTACTCTCATTATTCTCCTCATTTCCTTTGGTTCAGATTTATTTCACGAGAATCTCAGGTGATCGGATGGATGATCAAGAAAGATTGCTCTCATCAATGGATAATTTTTAGTCAATTGCATCTCAAATTAATTAGATTTGTCTTCGTTTCATATGGATTCGGTGCACATTTGACATGGAAATGGGCCGAATAAATCATTTGGGCCGGCCCGAAGGAGCCCATACCGCACCCATCTTAAAGCATGGGACATGATCAATCCAACGCTACAGATGCGGCAATTGCAAAGTATATTTAACGTTAAGCCACTTGCCAAACCAACATAATAACACTTATTTTTATTGAATATTCGAAATTCCACCCATATTATCCAAATTATGTAAAACTAAAAATACATAAGTCAACCGAAAAATTCGTAATACGTTTTGATAAGATATATTTTGAGTCCAGGCCATGTTACGATCAATGTCACGTCACACTACACCTAAGTCAGCAAGAAGGCCATGTTACGATGACTGCACGAATGTACCATCTCATCCCTCGAGGATCGGTCGTCACGCCAAACCCACGTACGACCGACCCTCGTACAGTAGTATAAAAGCCCACGGCCGACATCCAGCCCACGGGGAGGCAAAAAACAAATCAACCCACTACTAACTTGCTCGTCGGAAGGGCCAAAGTTGGTAATCACCCAACGAAGGCCATTCTTATAGGAAAGTGACTACCCTTGAGCCACGAGCATTCCGACCTTCGAGTAGTCAACCAGCATCCCAACGATGAGCCGCCAATCAACGTCCGAACCAAAAAATGTCAATCAACATTCCAGTGCCAGCACCCCCGTTTTGAGGGTTTGATTGACCTTAACGACCAGCACATTCGATCAAAGACTCCCGACATCGACCCGTGGACCAGGTCATGCTGACTCATAAACCACGATGCATCAGTTCATCAACAGGTTTAACGTATGATACATATCATCGTCACCACATGAGCACTATGTTGGATCTTAAGATTTGTTAGATAAATCACCATCATATTAATTATTTTCTTCTCATAATTATGATGTCATAATGCTTAGTATAATTTTCAATTATAAGTAGCCAAGAGGTCAAAATCAGAGTCCCACGGTCCAACCAGTTGCCAATCCTAAATTGGATCTTAGAATCGGAACCCAAGTTTAACTCATCCCACACCCCATTCAACCCTTTCACTTACCCACCAAAACCCACAAAACTAAAAATAAAAATAGAAAATCCTAAATTTGCATATCAATAGATAAGCTCCAATAAGTATGAGATCGGCTGTCTCCCCTCAGGCAGGGGATGCATGAGCATCTTCACCACCGACGAAGGCCACCACATATTCAGCAGTGTCATTCTGACGTCAGAGAGGGGTTGAATACGTGAAATCTACGTTCCCTGCCTGGAGAGATGCAGGCAATCCCAACCAACCCAACAGCACGGGCGAACTCACCTCCGCTGTTGTGTTGCGTACCTACCCCCGTAACCATGACTCAATTTACCGTTCTACCCGTCTCTCCTTCGCCGCCGCGGCGGCTTCCACCTTAAGGGCCCAAAACATATATCCCTCTCCCCCCGACCCCCCTCGATAAAAATCCTTCCTTGTTGCTCTCATCATCCACCAAACCCCTCCCCCCCTACCATGGCATCGATCTCGAAGCTCTCCAGCCCCGCCTTTACCGCGGTCTCATCTCCTCCTCTCCGATCCGAGCCGAAGCTCTCCGTCGACTTCCGCAGACGCAGC